TGATAGGACTCAGGGAAGGAGGACTACGTAACAATATAACAGACTCAGGTCAACATTCCTAACACAAGGATGAAGTGAGTGATTAGGACAGCGTAGAGTGTGAAGGATTTTCATGAATGCCGCTTAAAGGAGCACATCACAGTACATTTAAATAGGCAAGGTAAAAAATTGTGACAGTGAAGGTATGATAGGAGGATATAGGAAATGTGAATAGCTGAGGGCAGAAGGGGAGATACCACAACTGTTTAGCACACGTTTTGTCAAAGAGTAGGCTTACTTGTCTCTTTGACGAGTTGTTATATGGTGCTAAGAATGGCGAGACTCACTGATGATGCCGACTATGATGCCGGCGAAACGTTTGGGAATGTACCACCACTAGGTTCCGACTTTGGAACGTATTATGCACACAATGGACTCCGGACTAGGTGTGTTCCTCTAAGTCTTCCTACCAATATGACCAAGTTGCGAAATCAAGGTCAAACAACCTCTATTTCATTATTTAGTTGACTATTTTATGCTTTCCTTGTACGTTTTGTTGTGAAGTCCCCACATCCGGCAAAGTGTTTGAATGTAGACCATCTTCTCCCGTGTTATGTAGTGACCATATGTTCAGCAACCTCCGCTTTCTCAGAACACCAGCCTTTGCGAGCGGTTGAAGATTCTCTAAAAAAAGGCATGGCTAAGGAAAGCAACAGTGTTTCTTCATACATTGTCTTGATGGTTCATTTCCTCAATTATTCGCCTATCTTACTGAATAGCTTGCAAGATGGTAACATTATGAATCTGGACATATAGTTTTCTAATATATTGTTTTATCCCAAATAATAGTTTCCTTTCATCCTATTTCTACGTTTGTTGAAATATATAACAATTAATCCTATCGGGTAATTGTTCTCAACTACGATTTTTCTTAATCCTTCTTTCTCCTGTTTCTGATAATTTACGTCCTCCAGACGTAAATATCTTTTTATCATTAATTTCATTACGCCTACCTTAACACCATAATTATAATTAGAGAAGAAATTAAGAAAGAAACCAGCATTTATGTGTTTCCTATATGCATCTCTACCCAGTTTGTTACCTTCTTTAATGACTATGGTATCTAAAAAGGATATCTTACTGTCCATTTCTAACTCCATAGCGGGTTTAGTAGTCTTTTATAATCCATTCATTAGCCAAGGAAGTCCTGCAAAGACTCTTCACCATGTACTATTCCTTATCAAGTTCATCAATTTCATAATTGACTTCTTGCTTATCTTATTTCCTGATATCATCTCTGGGTGTAGATCTAAGGTTAATCCTAATGCCTGTATGGCCTCACTTAGCGGTATATTCGTGTACATCGATGCTACATCAAAGCTTACAAGCGAAACTTCTTGTTATATTATTTGCTCATCTATTAACTTTATGAAGTAATAATAATTTTTTATTAAAAATTTCCAAAAACCTGAATCGTGATGTTTTACGCATCACACAACTCCCATTGTTCACGATGGTCCTAAGTGGGACCCCCACGACGAATTTCGGATGGATCATATACATTTGGAGGTCTAGCGTCACGTTGGAGAAGCGCATTCATTTTCCACTTCTCCTTTATTAACGCATTGTTGCAGGCAACTCTTCATTTCCACTTTAGTATTTCTGTAGGGACTTTATTTATCATTCAATACGTATCAAAATGGTCTAAAGCCCGCACCATCTTTTTATATAATCTGCCATATTCATAAATACAGCTGCTCCTCCTTTATCTGCCTCAAAACTATTTGTTCGTGTTGTATCATCTTCTTAATTGTATTATTAATCCAGCTATGCTTGTTTGGTGCCTCTACATGGTTATCAATTAGACAGACAACTTGCATTTCGATCTTACTTCTAGCTTCTTCTGTTAATCGGTCAGTAAAGTTAATAGCCTTCACTAAAATATCTTAAGTGAAACTCTTACTTTTTGTTAAAGCATGATTAAATATTGTGGCATAACTCTCCACTTCGAAGGGAAAATTGGTTGGAAGAAGTTCGTGATGTGGTCTCACCGAAAACCGAGGGAGGATAGCCGCGTAGGGAAGACTGTTGAATTGTGCGAATGAGTCCTTGGCTCACCGTCCTGCTAAACCGATGAAACTATGCTAAGCTTTCGTCTGTACTGTGATAGACATCATCACAGCAAGATTCCATACTTTACGAAATAGAGGAAGATGACCGGCTGCAACCCTAGTCGCTTTTTTATACACCTAACATCTCGATTTTAATAAGACCTCCCTTGATTTGGTTGGCTACTTCAACCTTACTCAACATGCTTGCAAATGAGTAAAGTTAAGTTTGTGTAAGGGGAAATGTGTTCGGTGGCAGCTGTTTCATCACGCAAAAATGAGGGCGCAATAGTCTAATGTTGAATCATGTTTTGGCTTGCGCTATTGTCTATTGTGTGTATGCAATGCTCACATCATGGGTAGTAAGATAGTCCAGCCTCCTCTTGCTCAGTGGCTCTTCCTGCACCCACTCTCTCTCCCTTTCCTTAAGTCTATCCAACAGCCACAAAAAGTTCCTACTT